GGTGGGGCTGGTGGGACTGGTGGCCGGGGCCGAGGGGGGACCCCGCACCCTGGTGCTTCTGGAGAATGGCAACCTGAGGGACACGCACTCGCTCTTCTTCCGCAGCCTGGCGGGTAGGGCTCGGGGAGGCGGATGGGGCCGCTGCGCCGGGCGGAGGGAGGAGATGGGGGTTCCCTGGAGCTGCAGGGGGGAGGCTGGGGTCTTTTGGTCAGGCTGAGGGAGGGGAGGGGTTTGGGGTTCTGTGGTCAGGCTGAGGGAGGGGATTGGGGTTCCCTGGAGCTGCAGGGGGGACGCTGGGGTCTCCTGGTCAGGCTGAGGGAGGGGAGTGGGGATGTTTGGGATTCTCTGGTCAGGCTGAGAGAGGAGATTGGGGTTCCCTGGTCGGACTGATGCAGGAGATTGTGGTGCCCCGTTGTCCTGGTTTATGCAAGTGCGGTTATTCAGAAGAGACCTAAAAGTAAAATTGCCAAAACAGAGAATTGATTCTGGCCGGGCTTAAACCAGGACACCTGGCCAGGCTGAGGAGGAGACTGGTCCCCTGGGACTGAGGGGGGCTGGTTGAACTCCTCTGGTCAGACTGAAGGAGGAGACTGGGGTTCCCCAGGGGAGAGGAGGATGTTTGGGGTCCCCTGGTCGGGCTGAGGGAGGATGTTTGGGTTGTTTATGTTATGCCTGTGTTTCAGTGCTGGTCCCTGCTTGACGGGTGCCAGCAGGGCATCCTTGCAGCAAAGGGGCCCTTCAGTGGCTTGATCCCCCTTGGTTTTATGTGGGAATACCCTAGTTGAGCTCCCAGAAAGCCCATAAGCCAAATAAACCTCAACATTTTGATGCTGCTTTGCTGCTACATGGGCTGATTTTGTGAAATGTGAAAGTTGTCAATTTTTGTGGCTGCAGACAGGGGCTTTGATCTCACTTTCCGGACAGCGGATGATGCTGGCCTGTCCCTGATAAAATATGGAGAATTTCTGTATGACAACTTGATTATCTTCTCACCATCCATTGAAGGTAAATACAGGAGGGGAAAACTGAAGTGCTCTTGGAACTTGGTGGCAGTTTTGGAAGGGGATTTTCCATCTGTTTTTTCTGAATTCCGTTCAGAATTTCTGAACCCAGCAGCAAAACTGCTGGTTCCTCCAGGGTTTTAGTGGTGGCTCCTTCAGCCACGATAAAAATGGTTTGGCTTTTTGCCATGATTTAATTTTGCTGTGGTGTTGCTGACCAAAGAGTAATGAATTTTCAGATTTTGGTGGAAATATCAACGTGGAGACCATCACTGCTTTCATTGATGGTGGTGGCAGTGTCCTCGTGGCCGCCAGCTCGGACATTGGTGAGTGCAAACCCTCCTCAGGACAAATTAGCACCTCTCAGCTGCTTCTTGGAACAGGCACCTGCACTGCCTGTGAGCAAGTAGTTTATTCATCCTGGAACAAAAATGGTGGAAAAACAGTTTCCTGTTGTGAGTCTCCAGATTTGGGCTGTAAGGAAATGGGTGGTAAAGAGCCTTTGTTGATGGTTTGAGTGGGAATGTGATGTTCTGAATGGGAATGTGATGGTTTGAATGGGAAGCACTTCAGCCATACACCATCATGGTCATAAGGAGATAATACAGTTCTTCTCAAGTTTATTTTTGCGAGGAATCATGAACAAAGTTTTCTGTCTCATATTGAAGCAAACCCACTGCAAATGCAAATAAATACCTGCTGATACAGCAGTACTCTAAAATGGGGGATAAGAAAATACATGCAGCTGGCTAGAGATGGCTGTTTGAAAGGAGTCAGGAGGGAAACTGCCCATGCAGGGAGGTTGGAACTAGACGACTTTAAGGTCCCTCCCAACCCAAACTGTTCTGTGTTTCTGTGAATTGACGTGGGGCAGGTTGTGTTGCTCCTCAGGGTTTGACTCCCAGAGGACTGAACTTGTGAGCCTAAGCTGAACTGACATTTTGTTTTAAAAGCTGAGCCTGGCCTTGTGCCCCAGACACACTGTGTGACAACAGCTCTGTCCTTCCAGGGGACCCGCTGCGGGAGCTGGGCAGCGAGTGCGGGATCGAGTTTGATGAGGAGAGGACAGCTGTCATTGACCATCACAACTATGATATATCTGACCCTGGCCAGGTAAGCGGCTTTGCTGGCACAATTTCGGCTTTGTTGATGAGATTTGAGGTGTAAAGGTTCAGGGATGAATCTCCTGTCCTTGTTTTCCCTTTTTGCTTCCACTCTGTTTTCTCAGCCTTCCTCCCGAGAAAGTCGGAAATGGTTCCAAAGCTGTGTCTATCCAGGGTCTCTGCCCTCAGATCTATCTTTGAATTTCCTGGGTTTAATCTTTCCACTGCCCTGGGTGATCAAGATGATCACCCTGTCCCTGGCAGTTCCACCACCATTAGCAGTGCTTTGGAACCACACTGAAGGGTGTGAGGGAATTTTCCTGTGCATCAGACACTGAGCGCAACACCCCGGATGTAGGAAGGGGAATGGTCAGTCAGTGGCTTTTTTTACCCCTAATATCATCTATTACTTTCAATTTAAAGCCCATATTAAGGTCTAAACTAAATATGTTCTGTGAATTTTTATTTAAAATAAACTATTGAATGGCTGTTGTTCTAGTTTAAGGATGGAAGTTGCTAAATATGGGCAAGTAAGATCATAGAATCATGGAAGGGTTTGGGTTGGAAGGGACCTTGAAGATTATCCAGTCCCAACCCCCCTGAATGGGCAGGGACACCTCCCACCAGCCCAGGCTGCTCCAAGCCCCATCCAACCTGCCCTTCAACACTGCCAGGGATGGGGCAGCCACAGCTTCCCTGGGCAACCTGGGCCAGGCTCTCACCACCCTCACAGCAAAGGATTCCCTTCTCATGTCCAACCTAAATCTCCCCTCTTCCAGTTTTAATCCATTCCCCCTTGTCCTCCTTTCCTGGAGCCCCTTCAGGCACTGGAAGGTTCTTTAAGGTCGTCTTGGAGCCTTCTCTTCTCCAGGCTGAGCAATCCCAGCTCTCTCAGCTTAAGATGCTGTAGATATTGCTGTCTATCAAAAGGTGTTTTTTACTTATGCACCAGTATTAATTTAATTGTATTTCAATTAAAATGCTGCTTTTTTGCTTTTTAATTCAATTTTAATATTCATTCCACAGCTGCTTGGTTTTAATTGTCTTTCAAAACAAAGTTAACTTTAAAATTATCAGAGAACCTGTTGCTGGCTGTTAGAACTGAGCAAACGTGTTGGAGAAGGTCCAGAGAAGGACCAGGGAGATGATCTGAGGGCTGGAGCAGCTCTGCTCTGGAGACAGGCTGCGGGAGTTGGGATGTTCAGCCTGGAGAAGAGAAGGCTCCAGGGAGACCTTAGAGCAACTTTCCAGGCTCCAGGAAAGCTGTGGAGGGACTTGGGACAAGGGCAGGGACGGATGGGATGAAGGGAATGGATTAAAACTGGGAGAAGGGAGATACAGGTTGGACATTAGGAGGAAATTCTTCACCATTAATGTAGTAAGGCACTGGAGCACGTTGCCCAGAGAAGCTGTGGCTGCCCCATCCCTGGAAGTGTTGAAGGGTAGGTTGTGTGGTCTTGGTAGTGTGAGGTGTCCCTGCTCATAGCAGGGAGGTTGGAACCTGATGATCTTTATGGTCCCTTCCAACCTCAACCATTCTATAACTCCAAGTGTCCACCCCAACCCCTGCAGCACCTTCATGCTGATCTCTCGTTTCCAGCACACGCTCATAGTTGCAGACACTGAAAACCTCCTCAAGGCCCCCACCATCGTGGGGAAAGCAGTGCTGAACCCCATCCTTTTCCGAGGAGTTGGGTAAGTGACCTGCATCTCAACGTTGTTCTACTATCCCCTGCAGGGTGGGAAGAAAGGAGCTGAGGTAGGGAAGCAATGCCAACAATCCCCGTGTTGCTGTGAGGTGCGTGTAGGGTTAGTGGGCTGGGACTCCTACCATGAGCAATCTCTTGATTTCAGCTAATGATCAGAAGAAAATCTCCAAAGCAGCTTAGTTGTTGGCTGAGGGGATGGTTCTTAGCATGAATTAGTGAAGCTTGAGTTGGTATTTTGAGGAAGTGTTTCCCTGCTTGCTGTGTGCAGTTGTCTGGCCACATCTGAAGGGTGTTGGAGGTTCACGCAGTACAGTGGGCGGCTGTGCCTTCCTGTGGGTGGGGGGTCCTGGGGGTCTCTGCTGCTAACCTTGCCTCTCCTTGCCAGGATGGTGGCTGATCCTGACAACCCACTGGTGCTGGATATCCTGACTGGCTCTTCCACCTCTTACTCCTTCTTCCCAGATAAGCCTATTACTCAGGTACACTCCGTTCCTTCTTCCCCTCTTCTGGGCTATGTTTCTAGGATAAAAGCCACTCAAACCTCTGCAACCTGGAAAAAGTCCTCAAATGTTTTATCTCCTGATGGGTCAGGCTGTCTCCTTTCCAGCATTGCCCTGGGAATCTTCCTCTTTGCTTTCTGCTGGAAAAGCGTCCAGTGTGAGGGGTGCTCTGCTGGATTAAAGCCTCCTGGTTTCATTCCAGCCAGAGAAGCTGCAAGTCTGTTACTGGTTATTTGGAGCTTCTTGGCTTCTTGTTTCACTGTAGACACAGCCAGATTGTTCCACCCTGCAGCAAACCAGAGATGAACTCTCCTTTCACCATCCCTAGGTTGCCTAAAGACTCTCCTAACCCCTTTCCTTTGCAGTACCCACATGCTGTTGGCAAGAACACCCTTCTGATCGCGGGGCTTCAAGCCCGGAACAACGCCCGCGTCGTTTTCAGCGGCTCCTTGGATTTCTTCAGTGATGCCTTCTTCAACTCTGCTGTGCAGAAAGCTACTCCTGGCTCCAAGAGGTGTGTTGGCTCCCTGACTGAGGAATATCTGAGGAGCTGTTTAGTCAAGAAAGTCCTGAAGAAGAGGCAAAAAATATTGGTGTAACAGAAAAGAGCAGAAAGAGCAGAAAGCTGGAATTAAATGGAGGGTGACGCGTCTGGAACAAAGCGCTTTGGGAGTTTATTCCCTCCTTCAACTCAGCTACTCGTTTGTTGCTTTGGTTTGAGTTTTGGGAGATGGTGGATGTTTTTTTGGCCAGCCTTCCTCAGCCTTCCTTCACCCACAGGTACTCACAGACGGGTAACTATGAGCTGGCCGTGGCTTTGTCCCGCTGGGTGTTCAAGGAGGAGGGGGTGCTGCGTGTCGGAGCCGTGTCCCACCACCGTGTGGGAGAACTCACACCTCCCAGTGCCTACACAGTCACAGATCTCGTGGTAAGGCTGCCTGATGGGAGCTCAGGGCACGTACAGAAGGGAATGTGGGAGCTACTGTGGAAAAACCTGAAGGGTGGTTGTAGAGGGGCTGGTGTTGGTCTCTTCTCCCGAGTAACTAGGGATAGGATGAGAGGAAATGGCCTCAGATTGTGCCAGGGGAGGATATTTAGCTTGGATATTAGGAAAAAGTTCTTTACTGAAAGAGTGGTGAGGCCTTGGAATGGGCTGCCCAGGGAGGTGCTGGAGTCACCATCCCTGGAGGTGCTCAAGAAGTGTTTAGATGTGGTGCTTCACCATATAGTTCAGTGGTTGTGGTAGTTGGATTGTGGTGGGGCTCGATGACCTTGAAGGTATTTTCCAACCTTAATGATTCTGTGATTCTGTGAAAACTACAACTGGGAATGGGTCGAGGTTGATTTCCAGGCACCTCTGGTTACGGTCCCGTGCTGTGGGTTCCTTCCAGGAGTACAGCATCGTCATTGAGAAGCTTTCTGATGGCAAGTGGGTCCCCTTTGACGGGGACGACATCCAGCTGGAGTTTGTCCGCATCGATCCCTTCGTGCGCACCTTCCTGCAGAGGAGTGGTGAGTTCAACCTACTCATCTGTGGCCCAGGTGAGGGGACAGAGTGTCCTTTCAGCAAGGGCAGTGATGACACCAAACCGGGAGGAGTGGCCGATGTTCCAGAGGGCTGTGCTGCCATCCAGGGTGACCTGGAGAGCTGGGCAGAGAGGAACCTTGTGAGGTTCAACAAGGGCAAATGTAGGATCCTGTACCAGGGGTGGAACAACCCCAGGGACCAGTAGGGGGTGACCTGCTGGAAAGCAGCCCTGAGAAGGATCTTGGGGTCCTAGTCAACAATAAGTTAACAATGAGCCAACAATGTGCCCTTTGTGGCCAAGAAGGCCAATGGAATCCTGGGGTGCATTAGAAAGGGTGTGGTTAGTCGGTCGAGAGAGGTTCTCCTCCCCCTCTATTCTGCATTGGCTGGAGAACTGGGACCAGTTCTAGGCTCCCCAGTTCAAGAGAGACAGGGAAGTGCTGGAGAGAGTCCAGCGGAGTGCAACAAAGATGACTGGATCTCTTACAAAGCAAGATTGAGAGATCTGGGCCTCTTTAGCCTGGAGAGGAGAAGACTAAGAGACCTTATTCGTGTCTATAAATACCTAAAGGGTGAATGTAAGGAGGATGGAGCCAGACCCTTTTCAGTAGTGCCCAGTAACAGGAAAAGGGCAGTGGGCACAAGCTGAAACACAGGAAGTTGTATCTGAACCTGAGAGAAAACCCTTTCCTGTGAGGGTGACAGAGCCCTGGGCCAGGCTGCCCAGGGAGGCTGTGGGGTCTCCTCTGAATATATTCAAGCCTCACCTGGATGCAGTCCTGGGTAATGTGTGCCAGGTATTCCTGATTTAGCAGAGGGTTGGCCTAGATGATCACTAGGGGTCCCTTCCAGCTCAGATCATTCTGTGATTCCCCTGTTCCCCACAGCCTGTTTTCCCACTGCTCAGCCTCTCACCATCACCCTCCCCTCTTCCCCAGGTGGCAGATACACCGTGCGCTTCAAGTTGCCCGACGTCTATGGGGTGTTCCAGTTTAAAGTGGATTATAACAGGCTGGGTTATACCCACCTCTACTCCTCCACCCAGGTAAGCTTGGTGGGAATTAAATCACCAGGGAGGGAAAGGAAGATCCTTTGAGATTCAGTTCAGAGCCACTCTCCCCCCTCCCAGGTGTCCGTGCGTCCCCTCCAGCACACCCAGTATGAACGGTTCATCCCCTCGGCATATCCCTACTATGCTGGTGCCTTCTCCATGATGGTGGGACTCTTCATGTTCAGCATTGTCTTCCTGCACATGAAGGAGAAGGAGAAATCCGATTGAGCTCCCTGTGGGAGGAGGAAGAGCCTTTTCCCTGTGGCCAGGCAGGGACGGGCAGCGTGTGGGACCCTCGTTTGTAGCTGTGTGAGGACTGGTAGGTGCCAGGCACACTGAGGCTGCATTTGGTTTGTTTGTTTTACACACAGGGGGCATTAATGGGGAAGAAAGTGAGATTTTTGGGAGGGAATCTGTCACTGGGGCATCTGGAATCTGGAACATTGAAGCTTTGGTGATTCCTTGAGGAGTCTCTGGTGTTCATCTCACCCTGCCTTTTTCCAAATAAAGTCTTGATCCTCTCACCCTGGGTTGAAATCAGTGAATTCACTGTGGGGCTTTTGGCCCCAGACTTGCAGGTGGCACTGAAGGGTACGTCCCCATGTCCCCCTCACCAGTTTGGGGTGTTCCATGCGGGGACAGCCTGGTGGTGCTGAGCCTGGAGCACCTTGGAATGGAAAAGGTAGAGGTCTGGGGTGTGCAGAGGAGCTTGGAGCACCCTAAAAAACACACCGAGGAGTACAGGGAGCCCCCAGAGGCATTGAGGAAGATGGGGCACCCCAAAGAGCAAACAGGTGACTTGAGGGACACCCCTAAAGCCCCACCGAGGGGCTTTGCAGCCCCTCAAAACAGGCACGGGCTTGGAGCACCCTAAAAAACACACCGAGGAGTACAGGGAGCCCCCAGAGGCATTGAGGAAGATGGGGCACCCCAAAGAGCAAACAGGTGACTTGAGGGACACCCCTAAAGCCCCACCGAGGGGCTTTGCAGCCCCTCAAAACACTCACAGAGGGGGCTGGGGAGGAAAAAAAGCAGCTAAAAGGTGCGATCCAAGAAAAATGGGGGGAAGCTGAAGGGGTGGGAGCCCCGGAGCACCCCCAGAAGAATCCCAAAGGGCTGCACTGAGACTTCTGTGGTACTCCAAGTCTGTTTTGGGGCGGAAAACACGGAAATGGCGCTTGGGTTCTCCTGCCTCCCGGGGCGGGCCCCGCC